AGTCAAAATATCATTCTTAGAGTCCAATTCGTAAAGAAAACGTATTCGTCCATTCATTATTTTAATGGAAATCAAATTCTATATTCATTATCTATAGTTCTATACTATAAATATTAGACAATCAAGTGTGAAGAAAATATTATCTATAGTTCGGCAAGTTAATTATGGGTTGGAACTTGGAACCAAATCAAGTCAAATATTAGATATATTTCAATTCCTCTCTACAGAACCAAGTATAAAATTCACCACAAATAGCAATGTTTACGCCTCAGGTTGTCAAAGTTAATTTATTTTGTGGCGTGATCACAAATTTTGAATATACCTTCCCATGAGTGTTTGTTGCATTCTCGAAGTGATTTTAAATCTTTTAACATAATTTCCAAAATGTTCAGTTTTATTTTATCTTTAGATTGTGTCAAAACTTTATTAATGAGTTAGTTTTGATAACATATATTGTTCTTTTTTTAAGAATGATTGAACTTCATATATATTTAGCATCGCTCACAAACGATAGTGAATAATATCGTATTTTAAAGTGAGTTTACAACTTTAATCGTATAACATTGTGATTCTAAAATATTTAATTAGTTTAATTTTTTCCTCCTATATTATGTCAAAAACGTTATTGATAACTTGATTTGAATTGTATATTATATTTTTATTTTAAAGAATTGATTATTAAACTTCTTACTTTGTGCATATTCAATAGCGTAAGCGATTGAAAGTTTATTATTTTCAATACGTATATAGAGACTAGTCTCTATGTATCTTTCGCTAACTCTTAAAAGATAAGGTAAAAAGAAATTTCTTCATATAACTTAATATTACCGGTTTCGAATTAATCAGCAAATATCTTACGCTAAATATCTTACACATATTAATATATGTTTTGCTAACGGTTAAAAAATAAGGTAAATATCCAAATCGATTAATCAGAACTTATTTGGATTGGATTTAGATTGACATTTCTTCGATTCAAAAATCGAAATCGAAACAAAAAATTTCATATCCAACTTAAACTGGCCGAATGCCCACCCCTACTTACAATCACATATCTTATTTTGCACCTTCAATAAACCTATATACTGTTTAAGCATACTCCAGTCTCCATGCCTCTTGCACATGTACACATTAGACAACCTTTACTTTCAACTATAACGTATTCATCTTAGTTTTAATATCATGACTAAGATCGTTCTCCCCCAATTGACCAAGGTAAAAATAAGAAAATCAAAGAAACTAATCACAAAAGCGAATAATAAATAATAGGAAAATTACCAGTTATGTCCATTTATAAGTAGCTCATTACAAAAATTGGCCAATTGATAAAATATTACTAATATTAGCCAAATTAGCCAATTAGCTATTTGTAGCAAAAAAATATCAAATTTTTTGCTTTGTTTTGAGTGGGTGTTATTAGAATAGATTGGGCACAACTTAAGGAGCTTGAATCTCAGTTTTGGGATGATTTGGTGAAGTTTTAAGGTTGTTTGAATTGAAAATTCGAAGTAAAAGCTGGACATGAAAAAAATAATAATATGTGTATCACACTGTGTATCATTTGTGTATCACATATGTATCATATTTGTATCAATTGTGTATCACATGTATATCCATGTATACCTGTGTGTGAGATACATGCGTGATACATGTTTGATACATGTGTCGCAAAAGACTTTTTTGAACTCGATTTAATTACGAATTTTGATACAAAAACCAGTCCAAATCACCTCCAATCTTCCTCAAATTTTGTATATTGACTTATCTACATATTTTCAATGAATTTCAACTATGCCCATTGAAAAAGTTCCTTTTTTGTTTAGATTTTTGGAATATTATATAGATTTTTGTATTTCATCACCTTATTTGCTACCCCGTCCATGAAATTTTCTTTCCGTCTTGTATCTAATGTTGTTAATCACGCTTAAAAATATGGAAGGTGATTTTTGCATGTGATTCTTTGAGACAAAGAACCCTATTATTTGGTTTTTCAATTTTTGTTGGCTAGTTTTGGTAAGTCTATGACTAATGGCTAGTGGTTTGTAAGTTAAGATTTATTTGGGACATTTGTGTAAGTTTCCCTAAATAATACCAGGCTATTGTCCTGTCTAACAATATATTCTCTTCGAGATAAAATAATTTTCAATGCATCTTACATATACAAAATGCTCCAACGAACCATCTTTTACTATTTAAATTAACACTCTCTAAGCAACAAAAAAAATTCAAATTAAACCAGACACAAATACTCAATCATATCACGTTTACGCAAGACCAGAAAATTAAAATTGAGATTAATTCAAAATCATTCAAGTAACCAGAGTTGTCTTGACCAAGTTGAATTGTTATAGTATTAGAACTTCGAATTCATATTAAGCTACGACTTTAAAAATTCTATTGTTACTTGACTTCAAACTCCCGTAAAGTAGGCACTACACAATACAGATTTAACCATACGCTAGTATTTTATTGAAGAAATAATTTTAATAAAGGGTATAAAAGTCAGTTAAAGCATGAATACAATGTTGGAAGAACAAAATAGCCCTACAATATAACTATACTATTGGATATAAATAGTAATATTATTATTTCCTTTTTGTTTTGAATTTAGTTTGATTTAGGAGAAAGAGCGTGTTTAGGAATTCTATTCAAATTGGTTTATGATTTCCAATTAACTTTTCCATCTTTTAGTTTATGTAGCGTTGGAATCGTCCATTATTAGGAGCAATGTAGCTTCAAAGGGTATAAAATACCGACTTTATGAGCGGACAAAGGAGAGAATGTAGGACAGGGAATTTAACTAAAGTTATAATAATGTCTAATTTATTTTCAAGAAGATAAAATACCTAGGATATTAGGACCGAGGATTTAAATTAAAGTTTTTTTAATGTTTAATTCTAATTTTAATGAAGATAAAATACCTAGGGTATTAGCCGTGTTATTTATTTTCAAGGGAGAGAATGTAGCAATCATAGATAGAAGCAAAATATTGAGCGACAAAAATATATCAATTTTTAAATAACAATAATTCGGATAAAGACGAAATATACCTATTTGATTGTACCACACCTGTTATTATTAAATGAATATTTTTTTCCTTTGAATAACATTGTAATTACAATCGATTTGCAGAGTTCCAAGGAAAGTTTTTTCAAGTTGGGATTCAATTTTTTACTCCCACCGTCTCAAATTATCTATCGTGTTTCTCTTTTACACACCTCTTAAGAAACACTAATTAGGAGGAAGGCTGGACTATTTTATCCTTCTTTATGTTATAAGATATAATCTCTCTTTATTGAATATTTATTCTATTTATAAGTTATCTCCATTTTCAAGAACAATTATTATTAAGGGTAAACTGAAAAATATAATTTATTCTGTCCTGGACTTCTAAAATGCCAAATAATATGAGACAACTCTTTTAAGAAAACACGACAGATAATTTGAGACGGAGGAAGTAACTTTAATTAACCAGAAATAGAAACTCTAAAAGTTTCAAAGCAAAACCTTATTTCTGTTGGGACTCATTTCCTTCTGTTAAAACCACTAAGTTCTTAAAGTAAAACCTTTCGGCGGTGGAATTTAAAATACACAATTTCTTTCCTTTTTCTATTTGTGTTGTACTTCTTTCACGAGTCATATATTTATTTGCTTGATATAAACATTCAATACGAATAAGTTCTAACCTAATTTTATATTGGTATTTTATTACCAAATTACTTCATTATATTTTCTTATGTGGGTCTTCTCTTTGAATGCTAATATCCGGTACACCATCTTCTAAAACTGGCACGAAATGCAATATCTTATCATAAAAATATTTCTCATAGTAATATTTTTCCTATCTATGTTTTGCAATAGTTTTAGGGGTTACACGTGTGAGGCACGTGATATAGAGACTAGTAAACCTAAAAAGGAGAAATCATATATATTTGTTGTAGTCTAAAACCATCATGATTTTGGTACTTTGAATTAATGCATAAGGAGAGTATCACATGATGAAAAATTATACGTTTTTTTTTGTTTTTATTTTTTTATGCGCCAGAAATTGTCTACATTCGGTAGCCGAAAGAATGTATAAAATTCTTATATATATATATATATATATATATATACAAAAAAATATAAATTTTTCTTACATTTTTTCGTCTATTATTTTGAGAACGGTTACACAATGTCATTCTCTTTTTTTCCTCTTAAAAGAGGCACAAGCGTTGGTATGTTCTAAAAACGGCTTAAATTGTTGGAATTACTTAGTCATGGGTTTACTATTCTACATTTTTTATTTGTACTGGGTTGAGCCCACATGTATGTATTTAATTTTTTCTATTTTTCCACTTAGTGGTTTTGGGCTTAGTTGGACTTCCGGGTCAAGTATATAGCATTACACATTGTATTAGACATTTTGGTTCATTCAGTCATTTTTTCCAGAACATTCTAATAAAAAGACTTTCTCTTCTCTCTTCTAAGCACGATGAACCCTAGGTCGAAATTTCATTGATTTTACTGGATTTTCTGCTGTTAACATGGTATCAGAGCGAGGAATCTCATAAGGCTCGTGATTCTCTATTCTCCGATGGTAACCTCGACGAGTTTCACCGGAGATTTCTTCTTCGTCGTCAATTTGTTCGACCGTTAGTTCATTTTGTGTGTTGAAGAATTGGTTGTTTCAGAGTTTCTTTATCTCAGCTGATTGGCGTCTATTGAGGTTTTGGAGTTTCGATTCTGATGATTTCGTCTTCAATTTCAAGCTCTTCGTTCATTCAATTTTCGGTTAGGTTTTGCTGATTTGTCAGACTTCTTCACTATTTCAACGGATTTAGTGTTTGTGCGAGTTGTTTACAAGGCCGTATTCTTCCGGTTGCGAAGAATTTGGTACACTCTTTCCTCATCTTCATATCTATTGTATGATTTAGGTTTTTTTTGTGTTACTTTTGTGGTTGAAACCTAAATCTGTGTGAGATTGGTTCTTCTTTCAAGTTTTGTTTTTTTCCTGATTAATGGCCATCACAACCGAAACCTCGACCTCTTCTACCTCCGATAACTCCCCTTCCCTTGATCATGGAACTCCGAGTTCTCGTCTTCCTTTTCATCCTGATGATTACACACACCCATGTCATCCCTTATATGTGCATCCATCTGATTTGTTGGGATCTTCCTTAGTTACTGAGCCTTTTGATGGCTCTTGCTATGGCAGTTGGCGTAGGTCAATCCTAGTTGCCTTATTTGTTAGGAACAAGTTGGATTTCATTCATGGGACTTCTGAGAGACCTCTTGAAGGTTATCCTCTACTTCGCCAATGGCAAAGGTGCAATGACCTGGTTGTTGCATGGCTTGCCAATTATATTACTAAGGACATTCACCGCACTGTTGTGTATTCTGAGTATGCAACAGACATCTGGAAGGAACTTGAGGCTAGTTATGGGCAAGCTGATGGTGCAAGGGTGTTTGAATTGAAAAAAGAGATAGCTCATATCTCTCAGGGCTCTCTTGACATAGCTGCATACTTCAACAAGCTAAAGCAGCTCTGGGATGAGCTTGTGTCCTTGTCTGCTAACTCAGACAATAGGTGTACATGTGGTGGTAGTGTCAAGTCTGAGGCAGAATAGAGGGTCTATCAATTTCTTATGGGACTCAATGATACATATGTGCAAGTTAGGAGCAACATACTCATGATAAAGCCTCTTCCTTCCATTGACACTATGTACAGTATTCTTTTGAGTGATGAGAAACAGAGACAGGTGTCTGCTGCTTCCCACTTTTCTTCAGAATCTGCCTCTTTCAATGCTGGGGTTTCCAAACAACCATATGCTCCCAGGGTGAGTTTTGATTCCCAGAAGTCATCCATCATTTGCAAATATTGTAAGAAGCCTGGTCACAGTATTGGGAAATGCTATAAGCTACATGGTTTTCCACAAGGTTTCAAATTCACTAAAACTTTTGGTCCCAGAAAGGCTTCAGCACATGTGGCAGTCGATTTCTCTTCCTCTCAGCAATGTATTTCTGATTCAACTACTGGTCCTCTCAACTGTTCTGAACCATCTGTTGGAGTTCCTGGTTTGACAAAGGCACAATATTCCCAGTTGATTCATCTTCTACAACAGACTCATGTCAACCCTGATTCATCTACATCTCTCATGGCTTCAACACACTTTGCTGGTAGGGTGGCTACTCACAGTGTTTTACTTAAACCTGCTTTGTTTTCCCAAGTCACTCTTTCTAATTGGATAATAGATTCTGGTGCATCTGATCATATGACCTCTCTTAAATCTCTTCTCTTTAATATACAACCCCTTGCTATTCCTTGTCTTGTTTCTCTTCCAAATGGCTACAAGGTTAAGGTCTACAATTGTGGCTCTCTAACCTTATTCCCCAATTTCACTTTGCATAATGTGCTTTATGTCCCTAGTTTTCAATATAACCTCATTTCAGTCCATCAGTTGGTCAGTCAATTTGATGGGATTGCACAGTTTACTAAGGCTTTGTGTGTCTTACAAGGCCCTTCTCTGAAGAAACGACTGGCTCTTGGTAAACTGGACAATGGCCTATACAAGCTGTAGATTCCTGTGTTTACTTCATCAAATTATGTTTCTAGTGTTGGTCTTACTCTTCCTAATTCTGTTACATGTGATGTTTCAAATAATTCTGTTGCATGTGATGTTTCAAATACTTTTGTTGCTCCAGATTGTAATTCTGCTCATGCTATTTCTAATAAAATGGATGTTCTTTGGCATTTTAGGCTTGGGCATATTCCTTTTTCTAGAATGAAGAATATATCTGTTATTAGTTCCTCTCTTTCTAGCAAACAATCCTTCCCTTGCTCGGTGTGTCCCCTAGCAAGGCAAACTAGACTCATCTTCTCTGACAGTGCCATTCATTCCACAGCTCCTTTCCAGTTGATCCACGTTGATACCTGGGGCCCCTATCATTCTCCCACTTCTAATGGTGCTAGATATTTCCTCACCATTGTGGATGACTACTCTCGGGCAACCTGGACTCACCTTTTGGGAGCCAAAAGCAATGCTTTTGATCTCCTCAAGAGTTTCATTGCCATGGTAGAAACTCATTTTCATTCTCATGTACAAATTGTTAGGAGTGACAATGCTTGGGAATTGGGGTCCAGTTCCACTGGTTCTAAATTATTTCAGAAAAAGGGATCATTCACCAAACATCTTGCCCTCACACTCCTCAGCAAAATGGTGTTGCCGAAAGAAAACACAGACACTTGCTAGAAACTGCCAGGGCCTTGTTGTTTCAGTCCAAGTTGCCTGCTTCTTTTTGGGGGGATTGCATCCTCACTGCCACTTATCTTATTAACAGATTCCCCACCTCTCTCTTGAAGAATAAAACTCCTTTTGAATTGCTCTATGGGAAGCCTCCTTCTTATTCTCACCTTAGATCCTTTGGTTGTTTATGTTATACCACTATTCCTAAGGTCCATAGAGACAAATTTGCTCTTAGGTCTGTTCCTTGTGTTTTTCTGAGGTACCCTTTTGCTAAGAAAGGTTACAAGTTATACAATCTTGTCTCCAAGTCATCCTTTGTTTCCAGAGATGTCCTTTTTCATGAACACATTTTTCCTTTCTCTACTCCCTCCTTTGATTTTCCTACCCCTTACACCTTTACTTCTTCTTCTGTTTCTGATGATTGTGTTTCTGCTCCTCCCAGCTCCACTTTTCAGTCTTTTGACCATGTTCCTTCTCCTCCTTCTCCTACTCCTCCTTCTCCTATCCCCCCACTTCATGTTTCTTCCCCTGTTGCTTCTGCTCCTCCTGCTGTTATCCCTCTTAGAAAGTCTTCTAGGCCACATAATCCTCCTGGCTATCTCTCTGATTATGTTTGCCAACTTCCACTTTCCTCTTCTTCTTCTCTTTCTGTTTCCTCTTCTCCTCCTACATCTGTTCCTCTAATGTTTGAGCCATCCTCCTATTCTCAGGCTGCCTCTGTGCCTGAGTGGCAGGATGCCATGAGAGCTGAATTTGCAGCCTTGGAGGCCTATGGCACTTGGTCCATTGTTGACTTGCCTCCTGGTAAGAAGCCTATTGGTTGTAAGTGGGTGTACAAAATCAAACATAGGGCTGATGGTACTGTTGAAAGGTATAAGGCTAGATTGGTTGTCAGGGGTGATACCCAAGTTGAAGGGATTGATTTCCATGAGACTTTCTCCCCTGTGGTGAAAATGTCCACTATTAAGACAGTGGTTGCTGTAGCAATGAAGAAGCATTTGCCCCTCTTCCAACTTGATGTCAACAATATTTTTCTGCATGGTGACCTTGATGAGGAGGTGTTCATGAGGTTGCCTCCTGGTTACTCAGTTACTCCTCTTTCAAGTTCTGGACAGTTGGTTTGCAAACTTCACAAGTCCCTTTATGGGCTTAGGCAGGCCTCCGGGCAATGGTATGCCAAGCTCTCCCAAGCTCTTTCTTCTAGGGGCTATCATCATTCTCTTAATGACTACTCTCTCTTCACTAAGGTTTCTGGGGGCTCTATTGTGGTACTTATCGTTTATGTGGATGATATTATCCTCACAGGCACTGATTCTGCTGAGATTTCTTCCTTAAAGTCTTTCCTTGATGATCAATTTAAGATCAAAGATCTTGGCTCACTCAGTTATTTCTTGGGCATTGAGGTGTCATATTCAGATTATGGGGTTCTTTTACATCAGAAGAAATTTGTTTCTGACCTTCTCTTGGAGTTTCACTGTTCAGATGTTGCTTCTGTGGTCTCTCCCCTCCCTTTGAATGCTAAGCTTCAAGCCAAGGGGGGCAGTCTTCTCCCTAAACCTGAAGTTTACAGATCCTTGGTGGGCAAACTTAATTTTCTTACTAATACAAGGCATGCTTTGTTGTTCAACACTTGTCTCAGTTTATGCAGTCTCCTTGCCTGCCCCATTTGGAGGCAGCTCTCCATCTTTTAAAATACCTCAAGGGTACTGCTGATTTTGGTGTTTTTTTCAACAACTCTTCTGATCTTTCTGTGGCTGCTTATTGTGATAGTGACTGGGCTGCCTGCCCTGACACCAGACGCTCTGTCACTGGTTTTTGTCTGCTATTGGGGGGTAGTCTGGTTTGCTGGAAGTCTAAGAAGCAGCCTGTGGTGTCTATGTCTTCTGCTGAGGCTGAGTATAGGCTATGAGTAAAGCTGTTGGGGAAATTACTTGGCTGCATAGGCTGCTTTTGGATTTGGGTGTCTCTTGTCCTTCTGTTCCATTGTTTTCTGACAGCCAAGCTGCCATTCATATTGCGAGGAATCCTGTTTTCCATGAGCGCACTAAACATATTGAATTGGATTGTCATCTTGTTCGCGCCAAACTTGTTGAGGGCCTCATTCATTTGCTGCATACTTCTTCCTCCACTCAGCTCGCGGATATCTTCACCAAGGTTTTGGCCGGGGCTGCTCATCATGGTCTTCTTTCCAAGTTGGGGGTGTTCTCCCCCTCCAACTTGAGGGGGGGTGTTGGAATTACTTAGTCATGGGTTTACTATTCTACATTTTTTATTTGTACTGGGCTGAGCCCACATGTATGTATTTAATTTTTTCTGTTTTTCCACTTAGTAGTTTTGGGCTTAATTGGACTTCCGGGTCAAGTATATAGCATTACACATTGTATTAGACATTTTGATTCATTCAGTCATTTTTTCCATAACATTCTAATTAAAAAGACTTTCTCTTCTCTCTTCTAAGCACGATGAACCCTAGGTCGAAATTTCATTGATTTTACTGAATTTTCTGCTGTTAACAATCTTTTAGAAAAATAGTGTTTATAATAATATTTTATAAGAGGTATGATTTTTCAATCAAAATGGCTCGCAAATTTTGATGTTAACTATTGTGATTTTATACTGTAATTTTTTATCAATACATTTATTGTTTGTTTTCTTTGATTTTAGATTTGTTTATACATAGTTTTCCGCTGAAAATTTCATCATAATGGTCCTCATGTCAATATGATCGATTTGCATTCTAAAATTGACACTTCTATCATATAAAATACAGTACAGTGATGTATTTCAGAGATATAATTGCATCACATCATTTGTCCATCGATTGCCCTTAGCTTCAACTCCATAAGTTGCGTCGTTGCAGTTCCTATTACAATCTTTTTTTACACGATGGTTGAGTCAATTGTTTCCAAGAAAAAAGGCAATGATGACATATAGACCCCAAATTTTGGAATCAATATCAAATTAATAGACGTTAGACCTTTCTAGAAGAGAATGAATTGTAAATGTAATTTGCCTTAAAGAAGTGAGATTGCTTTAGTTCATTAAAGAGAAAGGATAAATAAGATTAGGATTAACTTAGGCATTTCAAGAAGCCTCCTAATCTAGTATAAAGTGACTCGTTCCACATCCTAAAAACAAAAACTTCCACATCTAAACCAAAACCAAAATTGACATACAAAATACAAGCCCAAAAATGACATGTAAATATTAGCCTACTGCTTCGACAAGCCGGTAATAACACAGACCATCTTGTAAGACATGGACAGAAGTAATGCTCTTACCATCTCGGTCCAATGAATTGTTCACGGTTGAGTAATCTTGACTGTCTGAAGCTTGGTTTTACGATAGCTAATGAATGCTGAGGAATTGCAAGCCCCAATTAC